CACCCAATCCGACTCTATCCCTTCGACCATCGATACATCATTACAAACAATACAAGAATGGTTAGAAAAATATACCCACATGGGCTCTGGATGGGTGGTGGGTAGTATTGACACCATCTATGTGGATATAGTGAACTACATGCCATTCAAAGGCGGGTCGTACCTCCCGGTGCCCAAGCATTTCAGGAAACAACAGGCCATCGTTAACCCCGAAAATAAAGGCGATAATTGTATGAGGGTAATGGCGAAAGGTGCCCTATTTAAACCCGAAGGTAATCCACATAGGCTTTCCACCTATCCCATGGACTTTACGGGTATAGACGAACCCACTCCACTATCCAAAATCTCTAAGATAGAAAAACAAAATAATTTAGCCATCAATGTGTTTGGACACGAGGGGAATAGGGTTATTGTGCACATGATAAGCCCTGTGATAGATAAAACCGTGCGCAGGATCAATTCATTCCTCATCGAAAAAGATGATAAATTTCACTACACATGGGTTAAAAGTTCGAGCAGGCTGTTGTACGACCAATCCTCTCACAAAGCGTAGAAGTATTTTTGTGAGAGATGTCTGCACGGGTACAGTCGTGCCGAAATACTAAAGGCGCACGAAGAAGACTGTCGAGGTGTGGGAGAGACCGCGATCAGAATCGACATGCCTAAAGAGAATGAAAACGCTAAAATTTATCAATCATAAACATCAAATGCCCGTACCCTACGTCATCTACGCCAACTTCGAAGCCCTCATAAAAAATATCCACCACGACACGCCCAACACAACCGAACAAAGTTTCACGTACAAAACGCAGGAACACGAAGCTTGCGGGTTTGGGTACGTGGTCTTCCGTTGCAACGGACAAACGAACGCTCCCGTGATCTACCGAGGTCCAGACGCAACTGAACGATTTCTCACTTGCCTACAATGTGAGGAAAAAACGATTCCAACATCGTGCCCTTGCGTATGACAAAGGATGACTAGAGAGTTCATAAGATTAAGAAGGCTAAGAGTTGCTACGTGTGTGACCAATTCCTGAACGGTGATGTCGAGAGAGATCATTGTCATGTCACGGGTCAATACCAAGGCGCCGCTCACAATGCGTGTAACTTGAAGCTTAGAAAAAATCCAAAAACGATACAAATCCCCGTGGTGTTTCATAATCTTCAGGGTTATGATGCCAATCTCATCATGCAGGCCAACTCAAAGATTGACGGCAAGTTAACGTGCATCCCCAATAACATGGAGAAATACATCTCGTTCTCCTTAGACGGTCTGAGATTCGTCGACAGTGTTAAGTTTCTACTATCGTCGCTTGACAGTTTAGTGAAGGCGAACAACCCCGATGCCTTTGCTATCACAAATCGATACACTGACATGTCAGCTCGACTTTTGTTGTTGAGGAAAGGTTGGTGCCCCTACAAATACATGGATGATTGGACTAGATTCATGGAAACGAAATTACCTCCCATCGAATCATTTTATAGGCACTTAGCTGACTCGAATATATGACAGGATGATTACCTACACGCCCTCAATGTGTGGGATAAACTAGGCTGTCAGAATTTAGGCGATTATCATGATCTCTACTTGAAAACTGACGTACTGCTGCTGGCCGATGTATTTGAGATTTTCAGAAAAACATGTCTGAAACAGTATGGCCTAGACCCTGCGTTGTATTTCTCCAGCCTGGGTCTCTCTTGGGATGCCTTGTTAAAAAAGACCGGTGTAGGGTTGAAACTGTTAACGGATTATGATATGCACCGGTTTATCGAGAAAGTGCTGCAAGGTGGAATTTCGATGGCTGCTAAATGACACGCTAAAGCCAACAATAAATAGGTGGAAGGCTATGACTCGAGTAAACCAGCGAATCATATACTTTGTCTCGATATTAATAATCTATACCTTGGAAGATGTTGCCAGTCGCTATAAAGAGGCCGAACCACTCACTGCGAAAGATTCGTGTCAAGTGGCCAAGGCACTGGAACGTATCTACAAACGAAGCCCTTTGACGTGGCCTACCGAATTACAAGTCGATCCCGGACGCGAGTTCATGGGCTCCGTGTCACAGCTGTTATCTAAACACAAGGTTGAAGTCAGGCGCGGGACGGTGGGAGCCCATCTTAGTCAAGCCATCGTTGAGAGGTTTAACCGCACTTTAGCCGAACGTTTATTCGGACACCAGTATGCTCAAGAAATGGTGACGCCCGAAAAACGATCGACGGAATGGGTGATGCGTTTATACTGAGTGGTGTCAGCGATCAACGATGAAGTGATGCGACTCATCGACAAAAAACCTGTCGAGGCCATTAAAATTAAATCCTTAACGATTGAATCAACTGCACCACCATCAAAGGGTAAAAAAACAGAGAAAAAACTGTCGGGTCGGATCAGCGTGAGGTATTTGTACCAGCCCGGTGAACTCGAGGGAGGGGATCGACTTTGTGCAACGGACCCCATATGGTCTGTGAAAACGTACCACATCGATCGGGTGGACATCAAAGAAGATGAACCCCATTTGTACAACTTGAAAACGGACGAGGTAGGGGATTCGTGTGAGAGGAATTGCTCGTCGTATCCCGCGATACGGTATTACCCCCTTATTAAAGATTCGTATTTGTATATTTATCATCATGCGGAGATTGATCGAGAAACGGTTGTTTAGTCGCATTGGGGTGGACTTTGATGGACTCGATATTTACTCCGCCCTACGTCGAGTTATTAGTCGAGGTCAATTCACGACCCTGTACGATAGTTTAGGTCTGTTGGGTACCGAACGGTTACAATATCTCATGGATACTTTAGTCGATTATAGCCTTAAGACCAGAGAATGCACTGCCCCGTACTCTACCTACTCCTTAGCCTACTTCGATGAGTTTATGACAGACCCTATCTGTAAAGTCATCGCTATCCATTACGACTACATTTAAAAAAGTGTACATTAAAAAATATTTAAAAAAAATAAAAATAAAATAAAAAATAAAACATGTACAACACACTGCCGCACATGCTCCACACAAACTAATAATAATATTGGGGGGGGGGGGGGCATGAGGGAACGGAATTAGCCAGAAATAAGGCCATTAGGGTACCCGGTATTCGTACCCCCATCTGTAATACTACTTGTCATAATGGTGATATATATTTTTAAGATTTTTTAAAGGTCACTGCCATTACCCATTTAAGAACTACTGATTTTTTTATCTTGACACATTCTGATTGGTTTGTCACATTTTTGCACATAACATAGAATCTATGTCGAAATGTCACCTTTCACAGAATAAAGTACAGTGAAACCTGCCAACACCGGCACCTGTGTAATCTGGCACACTGTCAAAACCGGCATAACATTTTGGTCCTGCCATGTTACAACGATATTATGATCATTAAAACATTGTCTAATCTGGCACCTCCTCACCCCACACAAATCTCCAAACCAACTGTCTGACCGAGCCTTCTCCTTTGCCAGCCTTCAACTGTGGAACTCTCTTCCAATGGAAATCAGGAACAGTTCATTGAAAGAAACTTTTAAATCTCTGCTAAAGACCCATCTATTCACTGCTGCTTTTCTGTAAAGTTACATGAACTATTTCCTTCACCAATATTGTCACAGCCACCGAGCATCTCTATGGTGGATATTAGGCGCTTTATAAATACATTATTATTATTATTATTTACAAGCAGCCAGCATGTGAACGGCCTATAACTACATTGTTGTGCTGAAAGCATTGCCATAAGTGTCAAATGGTGTTGTCCCAGAACAATGCATGAATAGAGGCGTTTCTCTGACTCCAGCACTTCTCAAGACTGTATTGAGTGGAAATGATAAGCATCTGGCTGGCTGCCCAATTTTCTTGGATATGTCATGCTTCTTTCAAATTTCATGCAGTTTGAACCAGTGTTTGCCCTTAACCTTGAAATGATGCATGCCCTAAGGACCCAGGGCCTAGATTTTCGAAGCTCTCTTAACGCTATGATAGTCGTAAGTTAATGTTAATGTATGGCACTTACGACTATCGTAGCGCTAAGAGAGCTTCGAAAATCTAGGCCCAGGGCCATAAAAAGTTGTGGGTCCTGATCAGAATGTGTAGGCCCTATATTTTAATATAGAAATAATACTCTTAGCTTTTGGGGATGAAAAAGCTGTTTTTTAGAATGCTGCAGACCAACGTTAATTTTGAACGCTCATTCGAACAGCAACAGCTAGGTTCCATTTCTTTGATCATTTTAACATACTCTTTCTCTGGTTCAAATAAAAAACTCATTCACAAAACACCTTTCCTTCCAGTGTTGTTTGTTACATCATATCTTCTGAGATAGATTTGCCATGTAACAGATAACACTTCTTTATTCAAAACGACACCCTTAGTACAGATGGTGTGTTTTTATTGTTAAGCATGCAACATCCCAATCACTAGCTATTTTACATGATTTTAATAATAATTTAATTTCTGAACAAATTTTTATTTAGGACATCTCCACCTTTTACATGTGGTATGATTAGGTTACCTGCAGCTTGAGGCACAGAACTTTCTCAATTTATAGTTATATGGCATTGAATAATGTGTTTTCCCATACTGGAAGTGTTGTCATAAAACATAAAGTGCTTCTAATTTTGTTATAAATGTAACTTGTGTCATAAGACTTACTGTTTTAAATCTGTACTTCTTTAAACATGAGTTTTACCTACCAGGAAGTGAAATGATTTAAAGTGGAAGTCATATTGGAAGTGAACGGAATGCCTTTAGTTCAATATGTACGTTTAAGGCAAGGTAGTTTTGAATGGTGTGAGGTTTTAGTAGGCTGTTGTTTTAACAAACATAAGATAATGTATCACACTGGAACTGTGTGGTAGCTTGTTATGATTTCTGAGACCTGGAAGGGTTGCAACTGTTTTTTTCTGGAAGTTGCAAACACTTTTCAAATCTGCTTTCAGTCTGTGATTGTAAATAAATTTGAGTTCACAAAAAGCACTCTTCATTTTCTCCAAATCTCTTTCCAGTGACAAACAAGGAGGTGTTGGCATCTTGCGGTGTATTCACTCCCTTGAGCAGACTCCTCTTCTCGAGTGACCCAGAGGTCCTGTGTAATGCATGTGGATGTATTGCTGCTCTGGCAACAGCAGGTATGTTCCTGCAAGGCAGAAGATATATTTTGATGTCTGTGCTCATTATTATGTAATTGTTGTTTCCATAGAATACTTCTATGACCTTTAATGATTTGATTGATTGACTGAGAGTTACGTGTAAGGTCTTCTTGTCCTACATCCATTGCTGCTGATGGCAGCAAGATCGCCGCCTCAGAAATCATTAGGCCAATAAAGCTGAAAAATCACATGAAATCATGAGAATCCATGAGTGATTTTTAGCAATGGATTTAGCAACTTCCAAAATTACCTGACTGAGTGAGTTGAACCATGAGTGTTTTTCCTTAATATGACATAATATTGTGACAAGTCATTTGAGTCTAGTGTTTCTCCAGAAAATATATGAATGAATACAACAAAGACAATAAATTTTGCAAAGGGTTGACATTATATTAGGGTGAGCTTCAGTGAAAGGTCCCTACTTCTTTCTGTTTCCATGGATTTCTATTTTAGCTTAATCTCTGAAACAGGATGATTGTGGTAATCTGATAAAAACAGATTTTAGTACTCACTTCTACACCAAAGCTCTGAGGACATCCCATTACAGGTCAGGTCAGAATGTCCTTTCCCACACTGACCAATGAAACACAGAAACAAGTGAGATTTACCTGCCTTTGTGCTCAGAATTGCTGTGAGCTGTTAATGCTATTACAGGAACAACTAGTTGTGTGTTGTTGACAGCAAACATGGCATCTGTCGAAAATGTAAGTTTTAGTTTTAGGTTTAGTGTGACTGCAGCCTCAAATACAGTATTTATAGCAATGATGTTAATAATAAAAATTGGTCAGTTGTTTTGTTTGATGGTAGGTGGTGCTGCTCTGCTGGTGACAGGGATCAATAGAGCTCATACTGTTTTTTGTATTAATATTTTTGTATTGTCAATCAGTGCTGAAGACCAATATTTTTATGTTTGACAAACCAGCAAATATGGGTGGATTCCTCCGGTGTGTCATCTTGGCTATGATGCCAAGTATTTTTGTCTGTTCTGTGTTGTCATTAATGGTCTCAATACAGGCGAACCAAGATGAACGTCGTCGGCTCCAGTATAGGCTTGATGAGCTGCTGGCGCTGCAGGGAACGGCAGCAGAATGGAAATCAGTTATAGACTTACACATGGAATGTAAATTGGAAAGTGATAATTCTAGTTCTAAATCAGGAAGGCAACCCACCAGGAAAAGACGTGAGCGAGGAGACAAAAGACAATCGACCTACATTAAGGGAATATCAAACAGGCGTACAAAGCCATTGCCAAACCTCCGAACGAAGTTTCAGATCACAACTTGGTGTTTTTGATACCATCCTACAGGCAGCTACTGAAGACTCAGAAGGAGCAGACTAAACGTGTGAAGTCATGGGATCCCGAGTCTATACAACGACTTCAGATCACATCTTGGTGTTTTTGATACCATCCTACAGGCAGCTACTGAAGACTCAGAAGGAGCAGACTAAACGTGTGAAGTCATGGGATCCCGAGTCTATACAACGACTTCAGATCACATCTTGGTGTTTTTGATACCATCCTACAGGCAGATACTGAAGACTCAGAAGGAGCAGACTAAACGTGTGAAGTCATGGGATCCCGAGTCTATACAACGACTTCAGATCACAACTTGGTGTTTTTGATACCATCCTACAGGCAGCTACTGAAGACTCAGAAGGAGCAGACTAAACGTGTGAAGTCATGGGATCCCGAGTCTATACAACGACTTCAGATCACATCTTGGTGTTTTTGATACCATCCTACAGGCAGATACTGAAGACTCAGAAGGAGCAGACTAAACGTGTGAAGTCATGGGATCCCGAGTCTATACAACGACTTCAAGATTGTTTTGATTTGTGTGACTGGGACATGTTCTTCAGCAACCTGCGACTGTTTGTGTGTGATTACTGATACTATCACTAGCTACATCAACTTCTGTGTCAACAATATTATCCCGAAAAAGGTAACCAGGATTTTTCCCAACAAAAAAACTGAATCTCCTACTCAATGAGAAGGAATGACTGTTTTGTGCAAAGGACACATTGAAGCTACAATCAATACAGAAAGAAACCAATCTTCAGAATAAGAGATGTAAGGACAACTATATGGAAAAAGTGGAATCTCATTTCGGAGCAAACAACACCCGTCAAGCATGGCAAGGTGTAAAGAACATGATCGGTTGTTCCAAGAAACAATCCCCCATCAACACAACAGACGACCAGGGATATGCTGAAGATCTGAACACCTTCTACGCTAGATTTGACATGCGTGACTTCAGCAGCAAACGGGAAGCTGTGATTGACAAGGTAAGCAATGAAGATGGGGACAAAATAATTTTAACACCAGAGACAGTGAAACTACAGTTCTCAAAATGCAACATAAGGAAAGCACTGGGACCAGTTGGTTAAGGCAGCATAGTCCTTAAATGTTGCTGTGAACAATTGTGTAATGTCTGTTGCCGACGGTACCAACTCTCCATCGATAGTCATGTGATTCCGAAAATGTGGAAAACACCAAAGATTGTGCCTGTGCCTAAAAAAATCAATTCTACTGAAATGAATGATTTTAGACCAGTCGCCTTTACTTCTATAGCACTAAAATGTTTTGCATCATTCTAAATTTCTCGTTGTATGATGTTAGTCATTTACTTGACTCAGTTCGCTTATAGACCAAGAAGGGGTGTTGAAGATGCAAAACTATGTATTTAAGCAGTGTATATAAGCATTTAGAGCTTCCTAAATCCTATGTGAGAATTTTATTTGTGGACTTTTCTTCGGCATTTAATACGATCCAGCCTCACATTTTTCTGGAGAAACTTTTGGATATGGGCGTAAATTGTAATCTTTTATTGTGGATTGAGAAATTGCTAAATCTTAGACCTCAGTTTTTAAAGGCTAATTCCGCCCACTCCTCTATCTTGTGTACAAATACTTGAGCCCCTCAAGGATGTGTCCTTTTGCCTGTATTGTTCACACTGTACATGACTGATTGTGTAAGTAACAGCCCCAACAATCTAAAAGTGAAGTTTGCTGACAATACTGTGTTACAAGGACTCATTCAAGGAAATGAACTTTCTTACAGAGACGTCATTCACTTTGTGACCAGCTGTGAGAACAATTATCTAATGTTGAATGTTATGAAAACAAAAGAATTTATTAACAATTTCAGGAACAGTCAAAGTATTACAAGCCCTGTGTGTATCAATGGTGATGATGTGGAAATTATAGATGATCATAAATACTTTGGCACAATTATGGATAGAAAATTGAATTGGAAAGCTAATACAGATGCTGTTTTAAAAAAATGTCAGCAGAGATTACTTTTCCTGTGCAAGTTAACTTAAATGAATGTGTATTATCCCTCTTTTGTTATTGTTTTGTTGAAAGCGTTATAACTTTTTTGTTCCAGTGTTGGTATGGTTCCCTCTCTCTGGTTAACAAATCTTATTTGGAAAAAGTTGTTTTAATAGCGGGTAAAATAGCAGGAGTTTCGATTAACAATCTGTCTTATATTTATGATAAAAGAGTTTTGAAATTATCTATGAAAATTTTGTCGGATCCAGATCATGTGTTACACAGTGAACTTGTCAAGGTTCCTGTCATATTATTACATTGAAATAAATATTACTCCATTCTCAATTAATGCTCCCTTATCGAGCATGCGCAGAGCCGATGTGACTGGCGAGCAGACACCGCGCAAGACTGCGCCAGACGAACTTGTATGACATGTTGAGTTACTGAAATCAATAATAAATCCCCAATATGAAGATCACAAGTTCACGTATTCTATGGCAGTTCCTTCTGGGAGCAGCAACTGGATAAACAGTCACAAGAAGTTCAGATAAGTTCACTCATTTACACAATGGGAAAGGAAGAACACAATATGAGGGGAAATTTGACAAAGTGATTCCGAAATATGATGAACATTTTGTTCCAAAATGTGATTCACGAGAAAGCCAAGTTTCACCAACGCAATCAAAGAACGGGTGAAAGTGTGGAAGCGTTTATACGCTCGTTGTATGAACTTGCAGAGTACTGTGAATTTGGGAATATGTGTGATGAAAGTATTCGTGACAGGATTGTCATTGGAATTTCTGACAGACAAGTTTCAGAACGGATGCAATTAATTCCTGGATTAACATTGGATCAGACTATACAGACAGCCAGGGAAACGGAACTAGTCAGGTCTCAAATCAAGAATCAAGACAATATTCAGACTTTAGAAGAGGTAAGGAGTAGAAGTTCCAGAAATATGAACTTTAATGCCCATAGAGCTAGAAGAATTGGTCTCTCACAAGGTTCTCACCATGGAAGTAATGGTAACCATGGAAACCAAAGGAATCATCAATCATAAGCCCTGTTCACGTTGTGGTAATCTTCTTTCAGGAAGGTGTCGCGCTAGTGGTCAGACATGTCATGTATGTGACAAGAAAAGACATTATGCCAAGATGTGTACAAGCAATAGAAAACAAAATGTTCACAGTGTAGAGACAGATGTTTTGTCCGATGATCAGGCAAGTGGATTCTATAAATGGATCTGTCAGCTGTGAAGATGATAATGATGTATGGATGGTTGACACACCTGTTGAATTCAAAGTTGACACCGTTGCAGACTCCACAGTGATTTCAGTAGAAACTTATGACAAACTCTTCATCAAACCAAAGTTATTACCACCAGATCAAGAAGTTTCAGGACATTCGCACATAATAGGGTGTTCAGGATTGTTTGCTGCAGCACAGGTGAGATATCATGGTGAATTATACAAGTTCAATCTTTATGTCACAGACGGACATAACAGTCTGCTGAGTAGGAATGTTTCACACAAGATGGGTTTGGTGAAAGCAAACTTTCATGAAATCAGCACAGATATGGATAAAGTACACTCAAGTGTATTTGGTCCTTTCAGACTCATGAATTGTGAACCAGTGAAGATAAAACTAAAACCTGAGGCAGTTCCCTTCAGTATTTCAACGCCACAAAGAGTACCATTTCCTTTGTT